TGATCGAATTATTAACATCCGCTTGAAACTTCGTGAATCGCTTCATCTTATCATAACCTACAAATATGTAATTTACAAAAACTCTTGGAATTGGGTTGTTTAAAATCTGGAGATCGGCAAACTTTTTATTAAAATTATGTACTAAAAGCTCGTAAATACCCAGTTTTTCAATTGAATCGTTAGATGATTTGACAACAAAATCGAGAGAAAAGGTTTTCACAAAGATATTGGACTGTTTGGCATATATAACCACGTTAATTTGACGATTTGGGAATGTACGTCACGCTGAAAGGTTCAATATTTTAAAAGGCCACCTATTAAGGAACCATGAAATTTAAATCTTTTCGGACTTTATAATATAATTTTAACTTTAATTTTTAATTCGTTTTTCAGAACTAGAACTTTTAATTTAAAAAAAACATACAGAAGCTCTGTAGATTTTGCTAAAAAATTACTTTTATTTTTAGTTTCCCGAATAAACGACACATCATGATGCAGTAACTCATTTAAGACAGTGCGAACGGCCAATTGCAGCAATTTAAATTTTCCTTTTCCTTGCACTTTATTCTTCAGTTATGTCCTCTTACCTCCTTCTCTTTCCTGCGACCTCCGTGGTGGAGCTCCTCCTCTTCTTCCCAGAGAGAGTAGATCGGTGCAGTTATTTCTTTCCACTTTATGGAGATTTCAAAGACCTTGAAGTTGTCTTTGGTCAGTAGTTGAGGGAGATCTCACTGCTTAAGGATATAGAGGCCTGTCTCCCTCAACAGTTTCACCCTGATTGACTCGTAGGAGGTACAGCCTAGTACAATTATTGTACTACAATATCCTTTGAGGTCCATATATACAAGTTAAAAAAATAAAAACTTTTCTTACATTTTTTGCAACGGATTTTCCGTTTCGATCCTCAAATTATTGGCCTAATATTCTTTAAATCAGCCGCCATTTTCGAAAGCAGCGGCTCTGGAACGGTAGTTAAGGTTCTTTTAACTCAGAATAACATGAACTTTCGTAATTCACAACTAAACCTTCGCCTGCGGTGAGGTCGATTTTTGGGCCCTACCTCCTGAGCTTTCCTGCTATAGATGAGTTATCTTGCTATTGTCTGCTCCTTGTTTACCTGGTGTCCCTTATTGTAAAACTTTTCATTTCGAAAAATCTTCTTCGAAATATGTTACCCTCAAAAATTCAAAAACCATCAAAATATGCCACCCTCAAAACTTTTCATGGCGCAACATCCATGCAAAATAATTTCTTTTTTTTCATATTCAGATACCTTGCTTAAAATCTAAACTTTGATCCGTATAATTCAAGTTTGTAAAAACCCTCTACGGTTCTATATGAGAAAAGAAAAAAAAAATTCGGGCTTCAAATGAAAGCAGCCCAAAAAAAAAAAAAAAAAAAAAACACAACAGATAAATTATAATTTACACGTGTTCTTATATGTATATGATACATTTTTCCTAATTATTATTAATATACCTCTTCTATCGATGTTTTATCAATATTGCAAACGGTCTTGAAGGTTTTTTAATCATTAAATCAGACCCAGAGAAATTATTTTAACTTAGGGCTCAATGAAAACGAAGTGTAATGAAGAAAAGAAACAAAGGACTATAAAATTTGCCATTCCAGAGGAGCCAATCAAAAATCATCAAGACACTAATTCGTGCAGGTAAACTATCAAAACAACGTTCAAACGCTCAACTATTATAAGCTGCGTTGTAAGCATCATCAACACTAAACACCAATGTTTCACAAATTATGTTAGATAGTTAATTCAATATGAACTAAAATAAACGGTAAAGAAATTAATTCTAACCTGTTGATATCTCCAATGGCTGCCGTACAGCTGTATCGGTAACTTCAAGAAGTGTAATGTATCTTACATTAAATTAAAATTTAAGAGTTTGCTTAGTAAAAATTTTTGTTTTGTTGAGGGTTGAAAGAATGTTGTTTATTAACTTTTTTGGTTACTTGGCAACACTTAATGTCGTCATAAGCTTAAAAGCTTCATCATCTAAAGAATTAAGAAATACATCGCGCCTTTGTGTTTTGTTTTGGATAATATTTGCATCGAAAAAGCTTACCATCCGTGGCTTATATATAGTCCATTCCATATCAAAGGAAAATTCTCTTAGTACCCTTATGATCGTCTCTGTGGACTTTACTATGTATCAGGATATGATGTAATAGTAAATAATGTTAACTTACTTTCAGTGTTAATTCTCATCGCTGATACAACGTATCCATGACTCCACTGTAAATCAAACACAAGACAATTTCCATTTATTGTTCCTGATTGCATTTGTGTTCTTAATAATTAAAAAAAAAACATATGACTCATTACCAAAAAGATTAAATCGATTTAGTATTTAACCCTTCAACAAAAGATTAATATACAACAGCAAGTTTCTTAATTGGGCGCCGATTCCATCGATAGAATCCATCAATTAATTGAATTTAACGGAGATGTACGCAGAACCTTTTTGTTTGACTCAACATGTTGGTACTCCTATAAGATTACAAAACAGAGAACATAAATTTTGTTTACGAGAAAGTTCCAAAGGAATTTTATTAATCTTGAACATTTTTCTGCAAAAGATACTGGAATAATTCATATTATTTTGAGCCGACATTTCGGCCTAAGTTCATCAGGGCCTCTACACATAATTAGAGTTCAAATTGCATTCCAACATACATCCAAATCATATACTCATTAGGTGTAGAAGCCCTGATGAACTTAAGCTGAAACGTCGGCACGAAATAAAAAAATTTTTTTTTCATTTTTAAAGGAAGGAGATGATGGTCCGGGGTGGCGGTCTTAAATAGTTGCAATACTATTTTATTTAAAGCCAACGTTTCGACCCGACTTTGCAGGTCTTCTTCAGGGCTCTTGGACTGCTACTTTTCACGTTCCTTTCTTCGCGGGATATTTTCTGTTTCTCAAGTTTTAGGAAGGCATTTGAAAGAGTGAGTACTGTGGGGAAATTTGCAGAGGGTAGTCTTTGGAAGTAGTTGATAGTGAAAGAGTTTTGAAACAGTGTGTGATGAAGGGTGAAGATTCTAGACCTGGAAGGCGGTAAAGAATCGGAGTCTGGCATTGAGAAGCGAAAAATATCAACAAATTTTGTGGCGGATCCAGAAATTTTCTCAGGAGGGGGCGCATCCGCCTTCCACAGCTACCCGTTCCCCCACCACTACCCATTTCCCCCACTCCTTAGCTGAGATTAGCCGCTCAAAGAGCCCTCTTTAAACGATTTTAACAATAGCAAACTCTATTTTCATTTAAAGTAATTTTTTTCTAGTTCATTGTAAAACAATAGTTAATTATTAAAAATTAGATATTTGTTAAAATAAATTAGGCCATTTTTCACCAACATTTTATTGATACGCATCAATTTGACGTTTCGACCATACTAAGGGTCATTTTCAAAACTTGATGAGTCCTCCGTTATATGTTCATCATTAATGTTGTAATTAATATGTTCAGTGAACGTTAACTTGTCATGTTATATAGGGGCTTCGCCCACGTCATTTCTGGAGAGACTGCATTTCAGTTCAACAAGCCCCTATATAACATGACAAGTTAACGTTCACTGAACATATTAATTACAACATTAATGATGAACATATAACGGAGGACTCATCAAGTTTTGAAAATGACCCTTAGTATGGTCGAAACGTCAAATTGATGCGTAATAATAAAATGTTGGTGAAAAATATCCTAATTTATTGTAACAAATAAAAAAACTTCAAGATACCAAAAGTAGGAAAAATGAACAGAAGAAAAATTAGATATTTTTTTAGTTATCATTTCCTATTCAACATAAAACATGATACTTAAAACACCACCAAACTTTAATTTCATATTTGCTAGCTGAAAATCGATTCATTATTAATATAAACTTTTTTGTAATTTTTGAATTCTGCCATCACTCACTCCACTGGTCATGATGAACTATTTTTGGAACTTTTTTCGGAATTATTTTTCCAACATCCAGAGGAGCGCGTCCACTGGCAGAAATCACTAGTTCTGCTCACGATAATTTTTTTTTATATCACATTAGAAAATTCGTCTTATAGGATTATTTTTTTATATATTTCTCTTTTCTTTAAACGGCTGTGTTTGGAATTTTTATTTCGCGGCAGAATTCGCTAGTGCTGGTCGAGAAAATAATATAATTTTATATTAGAATAGAATAGAATAGAAAGATAATTTTATTCTGGGACGAAGTCCCTTCAGAATAACAAAAAAGTACAGAAATTAAAATTTTACATCTGGCCAGATAAAAACAAACATAACAAATTAAGATAAAGATAGGTCATTAAAGAAAAGAAAAGAAAAAAATATTGGTTATACATACTATATACAAAATAAAATAAAAAAATCTATATAAAAAACTCTTGAAACCATACTAAGATACTTAAAACTATGTACAATGTTAAAATATAAATAAACCCTTTTAGAAATAATAAAAAATACAGAAAAAAATAAATGTATATTCTTCTTAACAATAAAATCTGTTTCTGTTGAAAAAAAAAAAAAAAAAAGTGAAAAAGAGAGAAAAAGAAAGTCGAATCTATAATAAATATTCAGGTCATGAGCTATATGTGAATATGGTCTTATAGATAATATGTAATGTTACATAAAAGGTTAGCTGGTGCCTGACTGTTTTTGGGACAGGAATTGGAATAGGAGGGTTTTGAATGTAGATAAGGATGAAGAATGTCGAATTTTGATAGGGAGAGAATTCCAGAAACAAACAGAACGTGCAATAAAGGAGTTTTGGAACGAGGCAGATCTGTGAGAAGGAATGTAAAGATCGGAAGATCGAGATCTTGTGGAGAGGGAGTGGACTGAGGACTTGAATTGGAGAAGGTTGTAGGCGTAGGAAGGACGATGATACTACATTAGGAAATTCGTCTATGAGGAGGAATTTTCCCTATATTTCTCTTTTCTTTAAACAGCTGCTTTTAAAACTTTTTCGGAATTGTTTTCCACCTTCCAGAGGGGGGAGGGGAGGGGTGCCCCCCGGCTGGGTCGGCTAATGACTTTAATGAACTAGATGTTCGTCTATTTTATACAAAATATTAAGGCAGAAATCAATACATTAATTTTCGGTCATGACGGAGAGGGAAGTGAATTTTTTTTTGTATTTTAAAAAATAGAAATAATAATAATATAATTTTTTTTTTAATTTTGTTCCGATTCATTATCATCATGTTTCAGATTATGAAAAATATGTTATAATTCGAAATCCTAACCTGCTTCCTAAATTTTAGTTTGAGTACAGTCTTAAATATAGTTAATAGAAAAGTAGGTAAAATATAGTTACTTAGATTAATAGAAATGGATTATTGTCCAAGAGCCAGCTGTCATCCTTATTACATGTACGTAACAACAAATCACCTCATTGTTATAAAAATTAAATTCTACAGTTCATTATTATTGTAATATAGGTTATTTTGAAAATGGGTTTTTTGTATTACACGAAATCCAAATAATATAATAAGATAATACGTTACAGATACATTTTATCGAATTGTTTACACTCCACTAAAACTTTATGAAAGGCTTCATCTCATCGTAACATAAAACTTTTTCGTCTAAGAAAATTCTTTAAAAAAAAAAAAAAAAAATAAGTCCTTTCGGTGTTTCTGTTTATTTTATGTCACTATGATACACTTCTTATCTGATGAATTAATCCCTAAGGTGGATTGTTTATCCTCTTTGTAATATGTCAACAACTATATCTGTTAACTCTGGTTGAAACTAGCTAATTATTGTGTTTGCTATTGCAATGAGAATATTGAAGAAAATATCATTCATTATCGGAATATTTTGTAGTATTATTTTAAAAAAGATAAGCGTGCTGCAGAAGCTCATAGAAAAATTTGCAGTGTTTATGGGGATGATGCCTTAACCGAACGCACCTGTCAAAATTGGTTTGCCAAATTTCATTCAAGAAATTTCGACATCAATGATGCTCAACGGTCTGGTGGCCCACATGAAATTGAAACGAGCAATGTTAAAGCCATTGTTGATCAAAATCCCACCCAATCAGTGCGGGAGATTGATACGGCCCTAAACGTGTCGCACATAAGTGTAGAAAACCATTTGCACAAGCTCGGCTATGTTTCCAGGCTTAATGTTTTTTAGGTCCTGCACATGATTTTTTTTTCGAAAATCACAAAAAATGTTATAACTTCAATATGACTTTAGCTATCTACAAGACATTTAGTACGAATTTAGGGCCATATAACCTAAACAAAATGACATCAACAGGACCTTCGTAAATAAAGTACAAATGGAGAAAAAAAATATAAACCTATAAGGAGTTTTTGTTTATTTATAACTTATGTAGGCATTAAATAAAAAAAAAAATATATCCATACGGATCTTTGAAGAGCAATTATTCAGCTTTACAACGAATATAGTAACATCGAATTTATAGAACATTCTAAAAAGTTATGAATGATCGGAAAGGTGTTGTGTTCTACCAAGACAACGCTAGGCCCCAAACCTCATTGGTCACTCGCAATAAATTACTGAGCTTTGGATGGAACTTTTTACCCCACCCTCCCTGTTCACCATACTTAGCTCCAAGTGACTACCACTTATTCCGCTATCTGCAGAACTCCATGAATGAAAAGAAATTCCAAAAGGAAGAGGACATCAAAAACCATTTTGATCAGTTTTTTAACAATAAACTCCACATACATTCTAAGAACATGGTATTATGCAGTAAGTGGAAAGATTAGAAAAAGGCATATTAAATAATACTCAGTATATTTTAGATTAAAATCAATTTTATTTCCATAATACATTGAGTTTTATTTCACCCTGAAAAACCAAAAGGACTTATTTGCCAACCCAATAATTTCGTTATTTTGACTTTTTGGGAGTGGACATCAAACGTACTGATATTTTTGTAGGCCACCTATTTTTCTCGATTTTGTAATCAAATCATCTTAATATCCAAGTGGTTGTTCTTGAGTTTTTACTACCTTATTAAATAGACAATCTCTATCGATCTCCTGGTTGAAATCTCATTATTTCCAAGGATTTGAGGAAAAATAAAAATCTTTAAGTCACGATAAGATGAGCCCATTCACGAAGTTTTAGACAGAGGATAATAATTTGGTAAAAAGGGGTTTGGGAAAACTTTGACTGTTAGTCCAGGCAATGAATGATTATAGAAGGAAATGGCGGGGACATAACTTTTGACTATGGTCACCAGGAAGTAAACATACTAAATGTCCCCACTCCTAAGTAGCGAGCCAGATGTGGGGGGTTTCCCCCCTGACGTCTAGAAGGTCACTTTTTTGGGGGGTTTTCGCTTATATCAGAAAAACTATCCTCCGCATCGACAAAAAAGAACGATATAAAATTAAAGCTGATAAAATTTACAATATGAGTTATTATATACCTTTTTTCGCTATCTCGCTTAGTTTCCGAGCTATACTTTATCCTATTATATGTACGTATATATACATAGAGATTTAGATATATAGAAATATAATAGAATGTATATGTGACCGCGCTTGTGAACAGTCTAGCTCACTAACAGATCCAGAAATTAATTTTAGGGGGCTTCAGTCCGAAAATTTGTTTTTCTATATATATATATATATATATATATATATATAATATATATATATATATATATATATATATATATATATATATATATATATATATATAAAGATAATTACTTTGAAAGAATAAAAAAGAAACTAACTACCTATAAGAAATGATGCTCCTTGAAGTCCTATTAAATGTAATTCATGTAATTTAACAGATTTAATGAGTGGAAAAAACAAGATAATTAATTATTTTAAATGAATTTATACCATATTTTTCACTTGACCCCAATATATATATAATATTCATCTATTCTAACGTTGGTAAGTTAATATGTGATGCGCGCACTGCACCAGTTTTTTTTTATTTCTCTTGATTACCGACAGCAGATTAAGGGGGTCTATTAACTTCGTAATTATCCTCCGCCCTCACCCTTGGTCCGGGAAAACCCCGTATAAAAAAATGCAATCAATAAATTTCTATTCAAGAAAAAATGAATTCATCATTAAATTAATTGCAGTGTAAAGATTATAAGATTAAATATAACCAAATATCTCATTCCGAGAATGGAATCTTTTGATTGAATTTTTTGACGTGCAATTATTCATCGTTTCTGTTTTTCATCAGACATTACCTAATGACATAAATTTCATTAGCAGTAAAATTCAAAATCTTAAAAATGTCTGGATTTGATGGAGCATTTTAAGATTTATTAAAAATTTGAACTCAGTGTAGATGTGGAATATTTTTATAGTAGATAACTTAATTTTTTTTTTTAAAATTATCTAAATTGAAATTTACAAATTATTTAAAATTAATTGTATAATCTATTCAAAGAAAAAAAAATTGAATTATTAGGTAAGATTTAGTCGAATTTTAAGAAATAATAACTAATATTGAATGTATACCTGAATTAAAGAATTGAGCAGGGTATCCACAAGGGGATTTCAAGATGCAAGTTGCGCTATCATAATTTTTGAGGAGGGCACATTTTAACGGAATTTGAATTTTTGAGTTGGCGTGTTTCGATGGAGTTATGGATTTTTCGGTTGAATAGTTTCAAACAAAGAGACAAAGGGAATACATGAAACAAACCTCAGCAAATGTAATTGTGTATAATTTTGATACTTTTATTTCTAATGTTTTTAAGAAGAAGAGAGCAATAAATATCTTGGTGAGGGAAGGGGGGAGGTTCATGCGCTATTAATCTTGGGGAGATGGGCACTCCTGGAAATGAGCCTTTTAATTGAAATGTCAAAAAAATATTGTAATATATAAGTAAGAATATTATTTTTTCCAGTGATTTATTCTCCCATTTCTTCCATTCAATTACATTATTACATCATAACGTTTCGGGATCCACTTATATCTCATCTTCTATAACCATGTTTTATGGATTTTTTTTTTTTAAATACCTCTTAAAGTATTATAGTTCGTGTAATTACATTTAAAAGGACTTTAGGAGTCACTTAAACACCATTTCATAGAGGTAGCTAATTTCTTTCTTTTTTTCCAAAGTAATTATCGTTATTTTTATGAAAAAAAAAAAACACTTTCGAGCTGAAGCCCCCCCTCCAAATTAAATCCTGGGTCCACTAGTGATGGGATGGGCACTCCTGGAATTAAACCTATTAATTGAAATGTTAAAAAAATATTGTAATGTTTATAATTTGTGTATATATTTGAAGACGTTAGTTACTAAAGATAATGTATTCAAAACTTTTCGAAGGAAATTTTAAATTTATGACATTATTTATAGTTTAAAAAATGTATTAAACGATAGCCTTATTTATTTGAATTAAATAACGTTTATATTAAATAGTTATATTAATAAATAAATAAATATTTATATTAAATAATATTAAAAATTGACTCACCTCTTTTTAACTCATTGTTGAAAATAAAAGCCATTTCTTTTTAAACTTGTACATTTCTGAAATACGCAATGTAATGATCAAGAGCGCTGTGGAAGGAATTTCTAGTCAACTCGGTTATTTTATAGTTTTTTTTATAAAAATCATTTATACTGATATAAATGTAAACATGGTTCAAAATATATAATGAACAATGAATGAAAATTTATTAATGAATACAAGTAATTTCGTTTTCAAGATACATTTATAGTGATTAAGAAGGAAAGCGTAGTTTGTTTACATCTATTGCGATTGAACTCAACACTAGTTTTACTCTCATTATAGATTTATTTTTATAACTTATTATTGTGATGTAATTGTACATTTATAGATAAATTATTGTAATTTTAATAATTTAATAGTATAATATATATATTTCGTTAATTTATTACAGAAAAATATCGCCGGGCATCATGCCGCCGGGTTCGCCGGGGATATTTCGAAGGAAATCTGCTTCGTCGGATGAGGCAACACTGAGCTCCACGCTCCTTCGTAATGACACAGTCGACTATCTGAAAATGTCGGGGGCACACGTCCCTTGGCCGAACACCAAAGAGGATTACGACCTTAAAGAAGTCATCGGTAAGTGAAGTGTTCCTCTCAATTCCCCATTCCATTATCCACAACTATATGTCTCCATTTGTTAAAGTCTAACTGACAATAATTCAAAACAATCATCTCATCATCATCAATTCCTCCCCACTCGCCTACCGGTCCCTATAACCTCTCCTTTCTGTTATATAACGATAGGACTGTAATAACAGTTTTTGGTTGCTGAAGGTGTCGGAGCTACTGCAGTCGTCCACGCAGCATATTGCAAACCCAGGCAAGAGAAATGTGCGATCAAGAGAATCAACTTGGAGAAATGGAATACAAGCATGGAGGAACTCCTGGTGAGTCAACTGTACACATTATCAAATGCATGCTCGTAATTGCTTAGATATATTCAATCCACAAGTATTCATGAGTAGTTTTATCAATATTACTACAGCGGTTTAACTTTATGACAGTTTCAGACATAATTTAAAACACTCATTATAACCTTATCAGTTGTGATTTCAGTTAATGACTAAACACTGTTATAAAACTGATAACTCGATTATTCGACATTAACTAGATTCCATTCCTTTATTTTCAAGCTTGCCCTTGATATAGGAATAAATGGCATTTATGTTTTTAAATAGACGGGCTTCTTGGATGCATTGCCCAGTTTTGATTGAAGTGTCCCTAGCCAGTAATATTTGGTCATTAGGTTTTGGGCGACTGCCAGGTACATCAATAGACTAAAAAGAAAACATAAAATTCAGATGCCAATGTTTGGCATACTATTTATAGCTTGTTTATTTTGCATTTGATATATTTTTCAAGATTTCGTCCTTAAATATTTACTGATAATTGGCCCGGATGAATAATTCGCAGAAAATTTTGTTTAGTAAAAGAATAGCAATACAATATGGAATATATGTAGATCCTATGTATTTTCTGAGAGAGGAATTAATTGTTTTTCCTTTGTCGATTACAATATTCCATTTAACATAGTACAAATTGCTTGTCTAGGGGGCTTGTTTTTAATCAATTCGACTGATTGAAAATAAAATAAAGGTAATAATGCAATAAAAAAGCCTCAATCATAGGATATTCTAAATTACTAAAAAATCTTTAAGAAATAATAAATGTAATATATCAGCAAAGGAAAAACCCTTTGTAGAATAATAAATGCACTATCTTTAAAGATAAAGAAATTGTTAATGGGCTGTATCTTTGTAAATAATTGTCCGGTTTTTACGTGTCTTTTTTGTAGTTAATTTAGTAACCTTTCTAGTAATCATGGGTACTGTCCTGAAAAAAATGCACAGTTCCAGAAGTTTTTGGGGGATAAGACTATTTTTCGCATGTGAGGGAAAATAATATCTTCAAAATGAGTGGTCAATCATTAGTTTTGATGAAGAATTGACAAAGTTATGTCTTACTGACAAAAAAAACACCTTTTAGAAATAATATATATGATGGCAAGCCCATTGTAGCATTTTTGTTAGCAGATTGTACATTTGGTGAATTTCTTTTACTTTTTATTTCTTTTACACTCAGCTCTGAAAATTATTTCAGTCAACTTTATAAGTTTCTTTAAAATAATGAATGTCGATTTGAAAACTAAATCAAACCTGTTTATTCTTTAACCGTGTTATTTCGTGCATTTTAATAATTGCACTGTTGTCTGCATTAATTCCAATCATGATGTTAGGGCTGTCTGAAAAAAATACATACATTCACTGACTCGAAAAACATTGCAGTTAAAAATATTAAGACTTATTATGCAAGCTTTTTTGTATGTTACTGATACAACTTACGCATATATAGCAACTCACTAATAGTGATAATAGTCACCATCGACATGCCTGATATCATGAGGAGGCTGCAAAGGTCATGGATGAGGAACTTATAACTTTCTTTTACGTAAAATAATGCCTCGCAAGAAATGCTACTGGGTGTTTTTATTTTTCATGCCTGATATTCCATTACACTGTAACTTATTATACTGTTATATATAATTATACTGTTAGACAGGCAATCACTCATTTTCGATATTAGATTAGTTTTGGATGTATAAAGTTAAAAAAAAAAAAAGTATCCAAAATATTTCTATTATACATTTCCCAAAATTAAATTATTGAAAGGTTCATTTTCTTTTATATAAAATGACTAGTAGGAATATTTCATACACTTTTTTTATTATTAATATTTTTAATTACCCTAAAATTGATTCTGACTAATGTTCTTGGTTTTATTAATAATTTGATATGTATAATTAAGGATTTGATTATTAGAAAATTGTTGATTTTCCTCTTATTTTGGTCCTTGACCAGTATGATTAAAGTTTATTAAGCTACAAACATGAACAAGTGCACATTTATTACAAATAAACCAAACACTCTTCTGATTATCTGCAGGTTTAGTAAAAATATGGTTTATAAAATATTGAAGTAAAGAAAAAAAACTAATCAGCATGATTAGATTTCTAATTATGTAGAAAATTTTGTATACTTTCATTGAAATTATTTGTGTATATTTTTAATATTACTTTAGAACTGAGGTTCTTTAGTTATGGTCCACAGACCCCCAATAATCATGCAATCACCCAAGGGTCTTAGAAGCAATTAAGAAATTATTTATGTATAATAATTATTAATGGTCTCATGAACTGAATGAAAAAGGCTTCTCTGAAACATTTATTCACTAAATTCAATTATTTTTTATTAAGTAATCTTTTAGTAAATTTGTTTAATGTTATTACGACAAAAATTATAATTTTATTATTATGCTGTTGTAGAAAGAGATTCAGGCGATGTCCTCATGCAACCACGAGAACGTTGTAACGTATTACACGAGCTTCGTCGTGAGAGAGGAACTTTGGCTCGTCCTACGCTTGTTAGAAGGTGGTTCCCTCCTTGATATCATTAAGCACAAGATGAGGGCTACAAACTGCAAGCATGGTGTCTTTGACGAGGCGACTATTGCGACGGTGCTGAAGGAAGTTCTAAAAGGCCTAGAATATTTTCACAGCAATGGCCAAATTCATCGGTAAGTTATATTTAGTTCTCGATATAACCTTTAACATCAGTTTAATGTTAAAATTGTTGATACTCAATTACTCTATCATTTATGTTCTAATATCGTGTTTTTTTTTTCCCAAAGTAATTAAAGAAAGATAATTGTGCTAGTTTAGTATTTTTTAAAATGTATCTGTTGGTTTACAATTTGTTTAATTATCTTTAGAAAATATATGTGAATTGTTTTTTTATATTTTTAGAGACATAAAAGCTGGTAATATCCTTCTCGGTGAAGATGGTACTGTCCAAATTGCTGATTTCGGTGTCTCAGCTTGGTTGGCTACGGGACGAGATCTGTCTAGGCAAAAAGTGCGACACACTTTTGTCGGAACTCCTTGTTGGATGGCTCCTGAAGTGATGGAGCAAGTGAGTAACAATATAATATTTACATATGTGTACGCATCTGGGGAATAGTTGACACACTTTCTGAGATAAAATGTCTTTAATTTATGAAACCTTTAATAGATAAGAATATCTCAAGGGCGTATGGAAAATACTTGCTTTAAATGGACATTATGACTTATGCATATATTCATATATGACTTGTATATATGAATGAAATATGATAGGTATATATAAAGGAAAAAGGATAATGTGTATGATATAGTAAGACTAATTTAAATATACAAGTAGTGATCCATGACGATAAGATATTGTCGGCACTATGTTAAAAGTAACGAATGTGTGAATGAATTTCTTAATCACACTTTCAAATTCGTTGGTTTACCAACAAGGCCCACCTTGAGGCAAAATGTCAAATCTAAAAGGCAATTGGTAGACCGGAATCAATAATGTCATTTTTACAAATTTATAGCTTTATTATGTATGTACATGTTGTAGTAACGTTAATAATAAACAAAACTTTATATTGGACAAAGATTCACATTTGTTACTGTAATATGGCTCTGACAATATGATTACATACATGAAAGAATATGAAATGTCGAACATACTGGAATACCAAGTTTTAAAAGAGAGCAATTGATAGTTTAACAATACATGAAAATATTATGATAAATCCAACAAATATGAGTAAGAAAAGAAAAATTAAAATAAACAAAATATATAATATATAATAAAATACAATGAGAGAATATTTATAAGGTATAATTTGTATGATTTATTTTTTTCTTTGTTTAAGGATATGCTGTTTAGAGTATAAATACAATGTTTTAAAATTAGCTTTTTATTCTGTATTATGTATTATTATTGCTACCGTGACATAGTTAATATATATTGACTATGCCCATTTTAAATATTTCACACTTCACACTCTGGCTGTAATAATAATAACTTATTATGGTCTTGTGGGGATCTCTCGTGAGTCAAACCGTGATGAAGGCCTGAACTTTGGGCTGAAACGTCTATAAAAATAAAAAATATTTATTTATTTTTAATTTTTTTTTTTTTTAATGAGCATCCCTTCAATTATTCACTAAACTCAACCATCAATCCACTATTTTAACTTATTATGGTTGAATCAAATGTCATTTTAAATTATTATTAAGAAGTCATTTATAGTATAAAATTATTGAAATAAGATGGGGAATATAAATTTATCCACTATAGGGAAGTGTCCATTACGAGAGCTTTCACAATATTTATAATATTATATTTTTTTTTTAAATTACCTTTTGTTATTTAAAACTAGCCTGACGGCAGCCAACCTCTATTTTACAAATTATACAACTGTTTATTTAATTGTAGTACTCATTGCTCAAATCATATAACTGTCACTTATATGTAATTTGTAGTTTAGATTGTATTATTTTTTATCAACATAAAATAAAATGAACGAAACCACAGTTGGGACAAATATTTAATTTGTGTTAAAATCTATATTATACATCGTGCCTTATTGTCAATTTGTAGCAATGATATATATTCAAATTTTCCATCTTCATATAAGCCCAATATCAATTTGAGTCTTTTATTTCTAATATTTTCATTGTACGTTATATTGTGCTTCCTTTTCTATTGTATTATATTATAAGAATTAATATTGAATATTTAATAGTTGACTGTTGCATTATAAAGGAAAGAGATGGTCCGGGGTGGCGGTCATAAATAGGCTAAATAATTTTTCCACTATTTAGCTTATTTATGACTGCCACCCTGGACCATCTCTTTCCTTTATAAGAATTTATATATTGTATCTAAGGGAAAAATGTATAGATCAAACAATAATTGCTGTCACCTAGGTAAAATCAAACTAGCGCCACCTCCAGATGAATAAATACAATTTTTCATACAAATTTTTGGTCTAAAATCTTTATTCTGTATCAGGAGTGTAGGAGATTACAAGAGCGCAATACTGTAACAAAGACACAAGCATATAAATCTCTATTTTGTATTAGAACAGTAGGATGTTACAACAGCTCAACACATCTGTAATTAAATAAACAGATGTATAATTAGTGCTAATTATAGAGCTAATAGAAATGTAATCTTCTACCTCTCCTATTACTATAATATAAAAGTCACTAAAACACTTTTGTAACTTTTAGTGTTAATTAAACAGGTCTAAAAAAAAAATTAATAAATAATTGTTGAATCCATAATTATTAACAAAATTTATGATTTCCTCATTAGGACCATGGGTACGATTTCAAGGCTGATATATGGTCATTTGGTATCACGGCTATCGAAATGGCCACAGGCACAGCGCCTTACCACAAGTATCCTCCCATGAAGGTGCTGATGCTAACGCTGCAAAACGATCCTCCCACGTTAGATACGGGAGCAGAGGACAAGGACCAGTACAGAGTTTACGGGAAGACGTTCAGGAAAATGATTATAGACTGTTTACAGAAAGATCCAACGAGAAGGTAATATAATATGAGTCATTTTTTATATAAATAATATAAATATTTTTTCTATTCATAAATTGCATGAATAGAAAAAAAGTGTATATGTTAGTGACATTATAACAAAGATGAGCATCTGTCATTTTTAGAATTTTGAAGAAAAAAAAATTTTCATTGTAAGACTTTTAATTGAAGCGAATTCTGCAAAGGATGTGATATCAATATGATCCGAAAAGTTAGTCAAATTCATCTTTGAAAATACAAATGTCGGTTTTTTTAACCAATATCTACAATTTTCCAATGACTCATAATAGTTCGCTTCATAACTAATTCACCTATGAACAGGGAACACTTAAAACTTTCCTTATTCAAATTAAATTTAGGGGATCCACTTTCCATTTTGATCTAATAAATCCGTCTGTTGGTGTTGTTTCCCTTTGATAAATAGTAGCCAATCTCTACTGAAGATTGAATCACGTGATCAGAATCTACCTATTTCGTTGCTAGGAAACAAACATACACTTCAGGTGTCCATTTTTTAATATAACCAGATTTCACCATTTAATTTAGAGCAAGATAAATGCTTTAAGAATTAGCTTATAACTTAATTTCGAATTTGGTGACAGATGTCCTCCTTTAATATGGGACCACAGGTATATCCCTGTTGATAAGTTCTTGAGAAAGAATTACGATACCTTATTCTCAAATAAATAAATAATTATTCTTTCAATAAAAAACTCATAAGGAAATATTTTAATTTTCATCACAAATATATTAGTAGAAAAAGGTGTTTTTAGTCTCGATAAATAATAACTTTATTTCAGATTTATCCAAATTTTCGCCTCTTGAGGAATAATCTGATTTTACATGTAATATCCATTGAATGAAAATTCAAAATTTTCATATGAAAAAACATACAAAAATCTTTCACGAGGATTTACATTAGACATTAGCCCATTTTTGAAACCTTCGGTTGTGTTCTTTGACTAAGTGTGCATGTGGCTGCACTGCTAAAAAGTGAATAAGTTTTTTTATATTTTGATATGTATATATATTGTTTGATGAATAACGTTTTTAAGGTTATTAAGTTTTCAAAAATGGGCTAATGTCTAATGTAAATCCTCTGAAAGATATTCGTATATGTTCTTTCACATGAAAATTTTGAATTACATGTAAAATGAGATTATCCCTGAAGATGCAAAAATGTGGATAAATTTTAAATAAAGTTGTTATTTATCGAGACTAAAAAGGCTTTTTTCTACTAATACGTATTATAGTCTCTTTCCCTAGATCATCTTTTATCACACACACACACATATATATATTTAATGCAAGGTTTTAGCGCAACAATTTCTGGTGACAAAATTGTAGCACTCATATTAAAATGATGATGCTCCCCAATAAAAAAAAATTAAGTTGCTTAGAAACTGTGTATTTCTTACAACTTCTGTTTGTTTTTTTCTGACAAATTGTTGAATCATTGAGTTTTATTAAGATGGAGCTTTCCATACTTTTTCATATGAGGTTTCACTTACTAAACAGTTAATTTCTTGTAACACATCTGTATTGAAAACAACAATTTTTAAAAATAAAATATTTATGAACTATGAATTTTATTTTTATTAGACCGACAGCTACAGAACTTTTGAAACACCCTTTCTTCAAGAAGGCAAAGGACCGAAAATACCTTCAGCAGACGTTGGTTGCTATTGGTCCCAGTTTGGAAACGAGAGTTCAGAAGGTTAGCATTCCTTTACGTTCAGTGTTTATAACTTAGCCAGGCTTCCTGGCAATATTTAATCATCTTTATAGATATTAATTATGTATAAGTATTTTACAACAGGAGTATTCAAGTAAAAAAGTTTTGAGAATGGGGTACTTTCTACCTTATTCAATTGTTGAGAGTTAGACATATTAGCACCATGAATATATATATATATTTTCATGATGTGCAGGGATTAAAAAAAATTAAAAGACAGTTGAAAAACAAAACGACTCGACTATTGGCTACTATTGGAGGAATTTAATAAAAACAACTGTTATCCTTTTGAAAGAACAGTTCACGCATTTAAACCGAGAATCTATGAACGTATAATAGCCTGGCAACACTAAACAAATCGACTAGTGGCAAACATTAGAACTAAATGAAAACAACTGTTCTTATATGTTTGAAAGAAAAGATCATTCGTTTGGAATCAAGAACTGTTGTTTTCAAATGTTTGGTGTTTTCTCAACCCACCTCTGCTTTTCATATCATATCATATCATATAAGATATAACCCGTTCCAATTATCACTTATTTTGTTCAATGGCACATGGCTTGACTGAGCAGCACTTCCTTTTTTGTGAAGATACCAAAAAATTTAAGATTCTTGAAGAGCCTTAAAAGACGAGTTGTTTTTCCGACTTGGAATTCAGACGCTGGGAGAAAGTAGTGGCTAGGGATGGGCTATTTGAGTGTCATGTTTTGACGTCATACTTTAAATAAAGCATTAATTTTAAAAATAAAATTGTGAGAATTTATTTGAGGTGATGATAATAACAGAAATGTGAATTGAATTGAAGGGTTTTTATTGTTTCTCTACCTTATTTGGTTAATGTAGAATATTTTGAAAATGCAGCGTTAACATACCTGTAATAAAAATGCTGGTAATGAGTGCTTTAAAATATATTCATACTTTACCCTTGTATCTCAAATTCTCTTGATTTAAGTCCTTTTTGCACGAATTGAAATATTTAAAACGACGATAGCAAATAACTATGGAGAATTAAATATTGTCCGCTGTTAAGAAATGTCTGTTTTAGAGGAGATGTTATAAATAATTGTATCTCATATATCATATCAATGATTTTTTTTTTTTATCCTTTAAGTAACATTTTTTAATTTAAATTTAAAATGTAAATATATTTTTATTAGGAACTAGGAGAGTAACCCCTGTTCATTTAATTGTACTACTCCTTGCTCAAATGTATAAATGTAATTTACATGTATTCTGTTGTTCAGATTGTATTATATCATTACAATTATTCTTATTGCCAATTTATAACTGTAATAAGGGAGAAATAAGAACTGGTGTGGTGCCTTCGTTAGACCGTCCCACTGGTGTCTTCTTAATGGTCCAGCGGTCCATCCCACTTTGTATGTGTAAAACAAAATATGTCACGTTCACTAAAAACTTTTTTATGTAATTGAGAGATAATATATTTTTTTACAATTGCAATCGAATGAGCAATGATAAAAGTTTAAATTATTAGCTATATTAATTTTTATTGAAGTTTTTGTTGTTACAATACTGTGTTCTAAATTACGTTGAACAGGCAAAATCAGGCTAATTCCATTAGTGCCTTCTTAAAAAAAAAAAAAAAATCAAGGGAGCTATTCCTAATCAAGTCGCACATTAGGTCGTGTGACTTCTAAAGATTTTTCTTTGGTAAGGTGACCAGAGAGAGGAATGTTAATATTTATATATACATTTTTTTTAAATAGCAAAATCTTTTCCTAAATTTATGAAACTGTTCGTTATTTTCAGGCTTCAAAGAGGCAGCCTGGTACCTCAGGACGTCTTCATCGGACTGTAACTGGAGAATGGGTTTGGTCGTCAGAAGAGGAAGGAGGGTTGTCCAGCGATGAAGAGGTTAGTAAAACTATAAGGCTTAATAATCTGGAATTGGGAGTCAATATTGAATCAAAGAATTTTGGATATTATTTCGGAGATAATTCAATGGCATAGTGGGATGATTGGTTTGGTCATCAAATCATAGTTTTTATATTTATTTTTGTCGTATTTCAAATAAATTATTCATGAGAATGAGGTGTCCTGTAACAATTGTCACTTACTTAATTTTAAAAAAACTCTTTTGTTTATTGCATTTAATTCGAGGAATGTCTATTGATATATTTATTACATAAAATAATAACTATAAATTTGACAATTAATTATTTTTAGTGATACTTTCCATTTTATATTATAATCCTAACCATTAACGTAATAGTTTTCACTAATGGTACACTTGATCACTTCACTGTATACATGAAGTACAATGTACTGGTACTAATAAAAACTAATTAACATAACAACGTAACCTTAACATTGATGAGGCAACTTCAGATAATCTCCAAAAAAGAACTTTATTCGTGAAGAACTAATACTGTACTGCCTGACTGCGTAATTCAAACAGAAATCATCTTTTATAAACTTGTCAATACTTTTCGATTTGCCCAAGGTTCTTGAACCTTCTCGATGCAGTTCTGTCTAAATTGTTGTACATTCGCTATTTTTATAACTTTCAACATATATGAAACCATTTTATATAATATTTATTTGTGTTATAAAAATTATAAATTAAGCAGGTATTGTTATTTAAAAAGTAAATATTTAATATAATTAAATTTTGGTTAATATTGAAAAATCACTACATCATTTATATATTGTTAGATAGAGAAGTTGGTTGGAAGTTGCAGTCATAGTCTGATACTAATAAAAAATTTATTACCATTGTGCCAACTTTTCGGCCTAAATTTTAGATAGACCTTCGTTTGGGCTTTGCAAAGACAAGATAACATTTTGATTATAAGAAAGAAAAAGAAAACATAATCTCAAAAAAATGTTATGAAAAATAGTATGTGCTCTACTGATAAATAAATACTAAGAAGTGCATATAAATTCCTACATTGTAAGGAAAACTAAAATATGTAAATACTGTATGTAATGACAAAACGTATGAGTGGTATATCATAGACTGCCATCTGCCATTTTTAAAAGTTGAGAAAAAGCCAATTTTTGTAACGTTGCTTCAATTTAAACTAAATCTTATGATTTATTTTCATGTTTCAACTTGAATATCCTTAGATAAAGTCGATATGTGAAGTGCGGGTTCTGGAAGAGAGCCGTGCCTAGCTCGCTGGCCTTTACCATCCCTCAATCTTACCTCACTCTCCAACGACATAGTCAAAAGTACGAATGCCAACTGACACTTGCAGGACGGATAAACCTATCCATGCATAGCTTTCAACCACTCATTGCTACGCTGAAACCAGATGGTTGACCGGAATAAGATCACTGGTATTGTACAGCGAGTAGCTGCAAACACACGACCACTACGTCTGCTCATTGCAGTGCTGGGGCTCTGGCGATGCCCCGTAGTACCAATTCGGTCAAATAAAATAAAAATTTATATTCTCCCTCGGAGGATAATTGATAATATGCTCTGCAGTCATTCATAAATAAATTACCACTATGGCTTAACATCAACCACCAATATTATAAGAGCATGCTTGTCAATCTACGATTGATGAGGGGCGACTAGAGCCTAGGCTCAGTGTCGATAACTGTCCCAGGAGATAAAATCATCAGAAATAGTTTGAGTTGAACCTATAAAACAAAATTTTACTTTTTCTCCACTTTCTGAAAATGAAGCACGTCCATTTTTGGTATGAAGCCACTCATATATTTATTACTTATTTTTTATTCCTTGTCATTATATACAGTACTTAAATATTATAATTTATCCTACACAACCTAATTTGTAACCACTTCTGTGTGTTTATTTCTTAGTAGATAACATATTGGTTTATTATTTTCAATAATCAACCATTGTGACCGACCAAAAAATTCAAAAACTTAACCCCCTCTCAAAATTTGAGGTTTCACGTTTCAGGACGCGTAGAATTCGAAGAACAAATAAAAAATGTTTTGTCCGTCCGCCGTCCGCGCATTTTCTCTGAAACTATTGGACCGATTTTTTTTTCAAATTTTGATATAAAATCAGAGGTCACCTGAGGATGATCCTCCTTCATCGACATTACTATCCGCCTTTTACTTTCAAAATGGTGGCCGAAAAACCTGCATTGCTATAGACTGTAGCTCCTAAACGAATGTACAGATTTCAATGAAACTTTGCTAAAGTCATTTTCTCGATGCCCTTTACATTTATCTATATAACATACTTCAACGGAAAGAAGCTGTAAAAAAAGTTACGAGGGATGGTAAAATTAAATTCCGAATAACTCGAAAAGTTTATACTTTTTTATCGATATTGTATATAGTATTTTTAAAGTTTACGAAATTTCCTAAAAAAAAAAAAAAAAAAAAAAATTGTTAAAATCGGACAATTAGGAGCAAAGATATGGTCTCCAGTTTTTTTTATATGTTTTACTCCAAATGTTAAATCCTTGGTTTGGTTTTTAAATTTTGAATGTGTTACTGAACTAGTGCTATTTTTTTTAGCATATTACTAATGATTAAAGAAAAGAAGTATAGTCCAATAATTGGAATCACCTTTTGTTTTTTTTTTTCTTTGTAACTCGGAAGGTAATGTGACTTTAGATGTATAATTGTTTGGAAATAATAAACCATTGTGAAATAATTTGCAGCGTTTTTTTCATTCTATTTATTAGTAGATAACACACAAATTTTTATAGTATTTGTTAGCATGTAACATACTATCTTCATACCATTTTATTTTTTTTTTTGCTAATATGTTCTCTATCACTTTCCCACTATCATGATGTTGTTATCTTATCTTTGATTAGCCTTGACGAAGATCTAAAACATAGGCTGAAACATCGGCACAAAGAAAATAATTTTTTTTTTGTATGTATATTAACTGCAAGTCCAAACGAACTTTTCCTACTAAATGATTAACAGTCCACCATTATGAATCTATATTTAATTAATATTATTCCTACCAAAAAAATTGATGGTTCATACAATCAGACGGCAGACCTTAGGATGAGTGATGTTTATTTAAAAGATTGGTATTGTACACTTGAAAGATTTTCTCTTGGTTTTTAAAACACTGTATATTAATAGGTCTTGGACCTGCTCTGTCGGAATTGGACCAGTATATTTCCGCAACATCATTTATGTTACCTGGTAAAATATAAAAGATAAACAACAGCTGTTGAAATTCATTTTCATTTTTACCATTTTTGTCTTTTTATGAAATATTTCGCTAAGCTTACGTACGTTACAGTTATAGATGAGGTCGTAGAGATTAGTTGTAGTTTTAAGGAACATGGCTAATATATTTAATCATATATAAATTTATTTTCTTACATTGTTTGCTTTTTTCTCTTCTTTTTTTTTCCCTTTTTTTGTAGTTAGACAGAATGCTATATTTGCTAGCAAGAATTCGCTTTTTTTTTTTTTTTATATATACTTTTTCAATTTGATTATATTATAATTTTGTTTTCAATTCAACTTTCCATATGTTTGCCTTTGTCATTAATGAAACTAAATTTACTTTTATAGGGTGCTGAGAAACCTATGAACAATATAGGTGGCGGCGACTTGTCCTCTGGTAGCGAGAAGGATCTGACTGAAATTGACGGTGGTACGCAACTCAACCTTGTTCTGAGGATGAGGTGAATATTTTAAATATTTCTAAACATTTATTACTTTCACTTACCTGTATATGAAGTATATAGTAAGGGAAAGTATTGCAATCGTGAAAATGTTCGAATCTCAGTTTTCAACGGAAATACACGTTTTGACATCCCCTGAGTCCAAATAACCAAGTCCTGCAAAATGGTCTGTGTGTGTGTGTGTGTGTATGTATGTATGTTATCAGTCTAGTTCAAAAATGAAAAGTCTTATATGAAATATGAAATTGCATATTTAAGATGAGAAGGAGTTGATCGGGGAGGAGAGGGGGGGCGGTCTAATTAATACTAAATTAAACAAGTAAAATTATTTAATTTTTGCCGACATTTCGACCCACTTTGCAGGTCTTAATCAGGTCTACAAAAGATACAAAACATGGTGAAAATAAAATAAATTAATATAAGTAGAAATAAAATAAGAATAAGTTGTCTGATACAGAAATAAAAAGATGAAATCAGAGATATAGTGGGTGACAATGTAGTTAAAATATCAAGTATTATATATGTAGAAGATACAAACAAAAATGGAAAATAAGTATGAATAAAATAGAAAATAAAGGAGAATATAGCATGTAAGTTAAAAGAAAACAGATTGGGATAAAAGATAAGGAATGAGTGTATAACAAACTAAAAAGATTAAATTTGATAAATGTAGGTTAACATATAAAGAAAATGAATGTTAACGAATAAATAGATTGTAAATTGATAAAGTAAAGCTAAAATAAGAATAAGATAACATAATAATAAGATATCAGTGGATAACAAGCTAGTGGAGGTTACATTTGATAACTAACAATCTATTTATTCGTTAACATTCATTTTCTTTATATGTTAACCTACAGTTATCAAATGTAATCTTTATTAGTTTGTTATACACTCATTCCTTATCTTTAATCGCAATCTGTTTTTTTTTAACTTACATGCTATATTCTCATTTATTTTCTATTTTATTCATACTTATTTTCCATTTTTGTTTGTATCTTCTACATATATAATACTTGATATTTTAACTACATTGTCACCCACTATATCTCTGATATCATCTTTTTTATTCTACTTGTTTAATTTAGTATTAATTTGATCACACCCTTCACATACTATATCAACGGTCAACCATCTCTACATCATTTTTGCGTATTTAAGATTTTTATGATGTTACAGCAACATTTTCGTCAAAATCGCCTGACCGGAAGTGGTACTTTATATAATCAATTTAACACATTTTTATGATTTTCTCAGGAACAGCTCTTAACGATTTTGATTAAACTCAGTACATGAGTGTATTATTAAGCAGTTTTTAAAATAATGTAGGTTTTATTCTTATTGATGTTCTCTATCAGGCTTAAATAGCTAATTTTCAATATCGGCTTCCTCTAAAGTACCTTTATTTTATTTTTTTTTTTTTTTGACATAATTAACCTTTTTACATTAATCTTTGATATAAAAAATACTTAAATATAAAATATGAAAGAATTTGATAATTAACTAAAGGAGAAATAAGAGATCGTAACGGATAATGGTTGTGACAAAGGAATACGAGCTTGCCTGCAAGATAACAACAGGCTTCCATACGTAACATAAGCTTCACATATAATACGGACTCTGGCAATATTATGTTAATATACATATGCGGTTTTCATAAATGCTATCGTTGGTATTATTTAATATTTGTTTGTATAGAATACAGCGATATAAACATTAAAATTTGTATATATATATATATATATATATATATATATATATATATATATATATATATATATATATATATATAAGAGTATTTAAACAAATAAAAATACCCACAACGAATTGTAAATAAATATAGCGTCAATAATTTTTACTTTCACTTCCACTTTGCCTGAAAATACTTATTTCTCCTAAGAAGAGGGTTGTAAGTGAAAGTTGTGGGATGTGCTCACCAGGTTTTTTAATTACAATTAAATTAAATGCAGTAGCAGAATGAAAAGGTTATTGACAGAGAAGGTATAACTTTAATACATTAGGCGAGTGTGAAAACCATATGGTTGTTAAAGTAACGACAATTTGGATTATTAATTAATAGAATTCGATTAATTAATAGAATTAAGTTAACTGTATGTATTAGGGTGTGTGTATTTAGTGATAATTAAAAATGACAACAGATAATGAAAGGGTTCCCCCCCAACTATGTTATAGTTTTTGAAAATAAATAAAACCTAACGTTTTGTTCTTGAGCTGAATATTGATATTATTGAGCTTGATGGTAACTTCCATTCTATTGTAATTGATAATTATTAATTATTGGCCATAATTATTAAATGAGTTGCCCATCCCTTACGGATCTAGTTAACTTAGTGTTACGATATTCTCTTTTCCCTCATAATTCTTATATTTTTTTTGTGTTCCTGATCCATTTGTTTTGATCGATGTCTTGAAGAATCCCTAATCTGTTAACCTACATTGTAATCGAAGATCTAGACGAGTAAGTTCCAATTTGAATATAATTTTATAAATAGGCAAAGACAAAACAGTTCAGTTCCTTTTTCTTCTTTTTTGTTTAGTAGCTATTAACGAGCTTTAGTATTATCAATAAAAATATTTTGGAAACATTGTGTATAAATTAAAATGTAAATATTAGTTTGTCCCAAACCACTTATCTCCATAAGCTCTTCGACGATTGATTTGAAATTTTTGTACAACGTTGCAAAATTTGGAATTGTTTTTATAAACATTTCATTACCATCCAGCCTTTGCCAGCTGTGAAAGAAACAAAATAGTTTAAATAATACAGTTAAACTACTTTAACAACTATATCTATATATGAACGAATTCCAGTTTCATATTTATACATGTGGAAATTAATAACTGTGCAATGCCTGTGTAAGAATTTATGTACATAACTTTGTTTATAAAAATAGAAATATAAAACTTTTCCTATTTCAAAGAAGTTTTGAATGGATTTGTAGATGATATGTGTCGACTCTTTTATTACAGGAATGCTAAGCGCGAGTTAAATGACATCAGGTTTGAATTTGTCGTTGGCAAAGATTCAGCAGAGGGCATAGCTTCAGAATTGGTGGGTGCTGGGCTGGTCGATCCACGAGACATAGTAGTCATCGCTGCGAACCTCCAGAAGCTGATCAACAGTTATGGAAATCTTGTCTCCGTCACCTTTCCCTTGGTAAATATTTATTTTAACTGCTATTTAAATAAATAGTTTAACGCTCTTGTCTAAATGTTATCTTATATAATTTCTTTTAATTCAGAATTCCGGTATTGCTCCGAACGAGACTGCGAGTGAGGCGGCCCTTATAGGCTTTGCTGCTATCTCCATTCTAGATTAATGAAGCCTGGGGTATGAAAGGCGAGAGGAGCTAGCGGAGAGCTCGACATGCCTGTAGCTCTGAACGCAGCTTTATATAGAGACTCATATTCCTATGTTTTTCTCTACATCCCTCAGGTTGAGGTTTGTGCCATGTCAAATTTTTTAAAATAATAAACCTGACATAAAATGTTATCTAGTGGAAGAGAGAAATTAAGATCAAGGCTGAAGGAGTCGTCCGATGGTTGCACAATATTTTATTTTAATTTTGTCAATCCATTTATGTATACATTCACTCAATAACCGTGAGTGGTGTCTATCTGGATCGGTAGGCTATAGTTGATGTTGTCTATTCTGATGATATTTTAAACTATCTCTAGAATTTTTATTCTTTACCTTTTGTTTGGTTTCTTATTCATCTGTTTTTAAACTATGCTACAGTAAATAATCATTAATCTTTTGAACAGATAAAAACTTCCTTTAAAATTTAATTTTCTACAGTAAAATTATCAATTCAGGATTTGCCAGATGTATTTACTTCTTCACTAGTCAAATTTATTTGATTATTCAAATCGTATTTATTGATTTCGAATTGTATCTTTACAGCAAAAAATTTAAAAATATATATTTTTCCGTCTTAATAAAATAACATCATTCATTTCAAACAGATTTCAATAAACACTTTTAAAAAAATTTTATATTTTCCAAAAAATCATTTTTAACCGATTCTGAGATAATTAATTCTATAGTTTTTAATTTAATGCTCGAAAATAATTTTATCTTTTTTTTATATTAACCTAAAACTATCATTTACACCTCACTAGCTTGATTTGACAAGATTCTAACTGGTCTAACCTTAATTGTTTGCTCATTTCTCAACGTAGTAATAATTTAAGTTTTGAATATTGTTTAATAAAAAAGTTCTTTCCTCTGATTTTATTTAAATTATGTCAACATAGAAGTTAAAACTTTCTTAAGTAAATATAATATATCTGTAAAATCTTAAAGGAGAGTCAAAAGCATCAATAACAAAAAAATGTTAGTTAAAACCTTGTCAAACCAAGATCTAGGAATAGCTAATATCAAATTTTTTCACATTCAGTTGGGCGTGATTCCAAAATCCAATCGAAAAGTTCAGATGTAAACAATCTACGAAAATGATATTGATTAATGTCATTAACTTTTATTAATATTCAAAATTTGTTTGCTATTACTTCAATATAATTTATATAAAAATATTATGTTCTTTCATTAAATATAAGTACTAATTAATATTTCATCTGATCCATCCAGCAAATCGTGCTAAATGGCCGACCATTCAATAATATATTATTTAAAATTAATTTTTTATTTCTTTTTAAAAAGCAATATATCATTTTTCTTTTTTTTTATATACAGTTCTATTTTGGTTTCCATAGCAATTTTAATATTATATAGCTTTTCTGCATTTGTTGCTTCTAGTGCTATTCTATGGGAGATTTATAAACCATAATAATTGATAACTTTTATCATATTATAGGTACATAACTCAATTTTTTATTTATCTCTAAATCCATTTAATGAGTTGGAATTAAACATCATATACTGTCAAAGGTTGGGCAGTTACATGTTCATATCCAATAATATTAACTTATATTTTCACAGACATATTTCTCCTAAAGTTTTTTTTTTTTTTTTTTTTTTTCTCATTCGGAATCAATCACAAAATTTATTTAATTGTTCTATAATTTATTATTTGATCTGGTTTTAAATTTAAAACTATTTCAACATCAATATATTCCCAGAGCGTGAATGTGTTCTCTGAACACTATTATAAATGTTCTTAATTGTGACAGATAGTAATATTGCTGAATAAATAAAAATATATATATATTCCAAATTTTAAACATTAACTGATGAAGGAATAGCAGCACTTTCCTTTACAAAGTCTAATCTTATAATCTTGCCTATGGTGACTAAATTAGAACACTATTTTTTTTTTTTTTTTTTCATACAGTATGTTAGTATTATTTTGATTTCTTTGAATAAATCTGCTGTATTATAATCCAATCGCGTGCTTTTAGTTTTGGAAAATTAATTTATTCAGTTATTTTAGTGTTTACAAATGGATTTAATCGACTAAGACGCTACAACTTTTCATAAAATTATATATATATTTTTCTACTAGTTTTGACAATAAGTATCATCTGATGATCTTTATTTATTTTATTATTTGGTGTATTCGGTATAAGTTTTATTTAAGGTTATTAGGCTTCATATTTTGTTGTATATATTTATTTGATTTAAATTATTATTATTATTATTCGTTTCATTTCCAATGCTTCTAACGTAATATCAGTCATACTTATAAAATAAAAAATTCTGATAAGTCGAGCAACGAAATTTGGCCTCTTCATCTCATCAATGTATATATTTCTTTATAAGATAAACATATAATAATTATAATTTGCATTTCATTTTTAAAATGATGTTTATATTAATTATTTCTTTGTTTACTTAGTAAAATACATAATAACAATAGTTCGATCGTAGACCTTAAATATTGTGACCATAATAATCTTAATCTTAACATGTAGAATCTCAAACGTCAATTATTTCTTATAATAATTCTTCTAATTTCTTTGCTACATTGTTTTCTCTTCGATGTATTTTCCTTTTAAACTGACGATTCAAGACACTGATTAACTAGTCATTTTCCTGAAACATGAATCAACAAAAATAATTGTGAATGACCACTTAGCAAGAAATCTATGTACTTAAATTCTTTTTCTAAAAAATAATAATAATTTTGATGTACATATTTGTTATTATTCGAATAAAAAATTAATATTATAAGATATTTTTATTTAATAATAAAGTATTTTAATGTCTCTTATAGAAAATTGATCACAGTTCCTGTGATTAGAAAAGATATAACGATTAATTTAGTGCATTTTGATAGTAGCCATATACAGACAGACAATATCTTTAGTAAAATTAGTAAATAATTTTTATTTTCTTCAAAAATATTTCGTAAAAAATAATGTGTTCAGTTTTGGTATTTTAAAATTATTTTTCAATATTATGTCAACACATGAGCTATTTTCCCCTGTTAATTGTTAAAATCTAATTTCCTTACCTGAAATAATCACTGTATTCTTTGTATATTTAAGTAATTATGTGTCTGTATTATTTTTTAAAATATTTAAAAAATAAAATATAGAAATAAAAAAAAGCTTTAATGCTTATTGTAAAAGTTTTATTTGTTAATAAAATTGTAATGCCAATTTTTTTTTTTTTTAATTTATTTATTGTTTTTGAGGTTTATATTTCATTTAAGTACTGTTTACAAGATGTATTTCAATACAAGTATTTATATCTGTTTGTGTCTTTTTTTTTTCCTCTTATTTATTTTTTTTTTTTTCAATAGATATTTATGGAATGTTATTTTAAGTATGGATCAAAACTTATTTTCTAAGGTAAGTGTTATTTTCTACGTTTTTATTATTATTAAGTAAATACATGTTCTAAATCATTTGGTGTTGTTTCATGTTATTTTAAATTAAGCATCTTCTGTGTAGTTTTATGTTAATTATCCTGCTTTTTCCTTTGGAAATTTGGTTCTTGGTTTGATATTTTTCTCCTGGATATATTTGATATTTATGAATTCATTTTTGGATTAGTCTCTGAAGATATTCCTTCAAGGATAAGACATTTAATCAGGAAGAAAATTGAATCCTCGTATAAAAGGAACAGAGTAACTAAAAATATTTTCTTAAATAATAAACAATGATTTGTAAGCTTCATGTACTGACATATGTTTGCCTACACATTAAGGATAGATAATTTGAATCAAACCAAATAATCATTAATAATATCTAGTTTTTTATTGTTTTCAATTCAGCCTAATTTTTATGATAGTTTTAAACACAGTATTTATTCTTTAATTAATTGTCGTTACGAATTTCCTAATCCATTATACAAAACTGCTTTACAAATTTAATATACCACTTATAAACCTATTCGTCTATCTACCAATTTTTTTCTAGCTTACTTCTTATTAACTGTTTTAATTCATCTAATCAACTCAGCTACGTTGAAATTCATTAGCACAAAACCTTAAAAAGTCGGAGGTAATTTTTATTACTTCACATTTTACAAGATTCTAAAGATAAAAAAAAAATTAGATCCGTTATTTATAATCAAAGCAATGTTTGTTGCACAAAAATAATTTATATAAGAATTCAACATTTTTTCAATGTTTCTTTAAAAAAATTATACCAGATAATGATAAAATATACTTTCAGGGTACATTAGCACAAAAAATAACACATTACAAGTTAAATTTGTTAACTTCTTTAAATCAAGCAATATTTGACAAGACCGGACACAGTTGAAATAATTAGATTCACTAATTTTTGTCAAGAGTTAATTCATTATCATAGCATTGTTTGGTGCAGATAAATAACTTATATGACAATTAAAATTTTCATAAATAGCCAATAGTTATTTTATAGAAGTAGGCATTTATACATTTTAATCTAAAAAGAATTATCAATGAAGCAACTAGCAATTCCTACTTAACATGCCTATTTGATTTTATTTTGACTTCCTGATTCATAATTGTTATCACAGGGGTGGATTTATGGGGAGGGGGAGGGGGGCTTTCAGGCTGAAGCCTCTCCCAAAATGGTAAAATGTAACCATGTATGGTAAAAAATTATGTCTTAAAGTATTATTGCTCGTTTAATTACATTTAATAGGACTTAAAGAATCACTTGAACACCATTTCATATAGGTAGTTAGTATCTTTCTGTTTTTCCAGAGTAATTATCGTTATATATATGGAAAAGAAAAGCTTCCCGGCTGAAGGCCTTTCTCCTCCCCTCCCCCCCCAAAAAATTAAATTCTGGATCCGCTAGTGATTTTTATTGTAATAAACTGAATGAGAAATGTTAATTTAAGTAGCCAGATGAAATATACCAATTGTTTTTCCAATAATTTAAAATTAAGCTAAATGATAATAGAATATATTCTATTGAATAAAGAAACTGTTTTAACTCATTTAATTAAACTTTCAGCTGCATCAGAATAAATCAGCACTAAAAATAATGAGTTAATTTATTTATCTCTTTAAATCTAGCAATATTTGACAAGATTGGATAAAAGTAAAAAGTTGGACTTACTAACTAGAATTTATTAATCATATTATATGATGCACTTAAATAACTTATTTAATAATTATTTTTTTCATAAATAAGCAATACTTGGCATTTACACATTTTAAACTACTAGATTGAATTGAACATAAATTAAAATAAATTTAGGCTTAGCTGTCTTTGATTTTAAATTAACTTTGTAATTCATAATTGGTCCTCTAATTAATAAAATAGGAGATGTTTATTTAAAGCTGTGTTAGGATATTTCAGGAACTACAAATTAAATATATAAATGGTTATTTCACTAATATTTTTATTTCTTGGTTTTGATATTTTCCATCTGCTGTCGATAACAAGAGAAATAAAATAGTTTGGTTTAGGTCTTAGTTAATAATCGTGTGAATTAAATAAAAATTGTTTTCCAAAAAATTATTATTGACTGGATAATGATAAAATATATATTAGCGATTACGATAAGAATTTTATTTTTATTCAGTTTTGAATTTAAAAATTTTATATTCGGCGAAAGGCATGAAACTATTATTGCCTCCTTAATACTAATAATTAGGAAGGCCGTGACCTGTGAAAGCTAGCTTTCAGTCGAACTACCGTTTCTCAGGAAATTCATTTAGTTCACTTGGAATATTTGTAATGTTAATTAAGTAATTATTTTTTTCACGTTATTGTGTAGTTGCGTAAAAGGTGAGTGTATGTTTTGTATTTGTTCTTAAAATTACAGGTATTTGTTGTTTCACTGAAATGGAATAGATATGTATTGATAATGATGCGTTTTAAAATTTCTCAATACTGAAATGATTATAGAAGTTATATTTATTCATACCAATTTATAAAATTTGTCTAGAAGCGACCATGAATAATATTGACTGTAATACTTAAAGCTTTATATTATACTTTAGATCTTAAGTGATAAAAATATGAACATCATTTATCTGGAAATTCATTTAGTTTTCTTGGAATGTTTGTAATTTTAGTTACTAATTTTCTTCAGAAAGTTAAGTAAAAGATGAATATTTTAAAGTTTAATTTGTTATAAAAATTATATTTACTAGTTCTTTCATTAGAACATTATTGATTATTAAGTTATATTTATTCGTGCTAATGGAAATAATTTATCTAAAATCCATCATGAAAAATTTTGAATGGATATGCTTTTTTCTAAAATAATAAAAATATAAACGTCGTTACTGAATGATGGACCCTTTTTTTACTTTCATACCTATAGGTAAGGAAAGTATTGCAATCGGGTCAATTTTTCGACGGATCTATACGTTTCAGAGCCCCCTAAGTCCGAAAAACACATTTTTAGCCATTGGTCTGTCTGTCTGTGCCAAGATTTTCTCGGGAACTACTGAACCGATTTTGTTGCTTCTTTTTTTATTTTGTAGGGTTCTGACTACTGATGCCCGTGACAGAAATACGTTGCTCCATGCGCAATAGCTTGCGCGCAATAAATGAAAAACATGTTTTTCTATAGACTGTAGCGCGAACATGGCTCTAAAGATTTTGATGACACTTTTCTATGATGTTCTAATCATTGTCCTTTCAATTTTCGTATATATACTAAATTCCCGAAAAAAAAGTAATAAAGAAAAGAAGAATGTTATGGGGCTTAACTCCCTAAGTATATATTATACGGTAAAGTTTATAATAAAACTTTTGGAAGGTAATTAAATTACCAACAAAACAAAAAAAAAAAAATCATCGGAATCGAACCAGTATTAGCGATGATACAGCTTATTCTATTTTTTACACATTTTTTTTTAACTTATTACTTTCCTACCTATACTAGGTAAGGAAAGTATTGTAATCGGTAATGAAATTCCCTACAAAACTATATAAAAATCGTTCATTTTGGACAACGATTAACGAAGTTACAGCTATTCAATTTCCAATGAAAGAGTACGAGTTTACAGTTGACCGCATCACACAATCTTCACTATTTCCTCCACTTTTAACAGAAATTATTGTTTGGCAATACTAAGCTATGGCAAAAAGTTTTTGATCAGCAATATTAGTGAGTATTGAAATTTGTACACTGAATTATCTTAAGCCGGTTTCATTGCTTTAGTTTATCTAATAAATTGTACTCAAATCTTTTGTTTGATTAATTTTCAGGAAAATAAATTAAGTTCAATTCTTTTTTGTTTGTTCATGAACATATGTAAAGATATAAAAACTTTTCTGAAATAGGTAGGAAAGTCGTGTGAGTGGACAAACAAGATTTTTTTTTTACATCTATTTAATACATTTATTTTGAAGAATTTGAACTTATATACTATGAAATTTTTATCGTAGGCAGGTTAGTAACTGCATTTAAAAAATATCTAAAATTGCAATTCACAAAGTTATTATATCTGTACTTGGAGCATACAAAACAGATTTGAGAGAACTTCAAGAAAGAAATCAGTGTAGGGTATACGTTCATTGTTAAAAGTCTAATGCCCTCTCACAATTAATTTTTAGAACTAACTAATAATAAACTAACTGGACATTCGCCCGATACAATAGGCGCTGGCACGAAGGTGTGAGTAAGGCACGTTCTATCTGCTAGTTAAACTAGCTTACAAAAAGTTCAATAAACAGTATATATAATTATATTTCTACTTGGCATAGTATATTGGTCAGTGTAAAAGTAGGAATATAATTTGTAAATAATTAATTTCGATACATTACAAAAGAGAGGAATTTTTTTTTTTTATCCTTGGTCAATTACAACGATTCGTTCCAAATAATAAACCAAAATACAATTGGCTCTATCTTTGATAAAAATGGTTCGATTTGGATGTTGTTTTTTCAAAGAAGATTGGCGAACCTTTTCCAGCTCTAAATTTTATATACCACCATTAATCTTTACTTTTTTATGCGCAAATAAAATTTCGTTTATTCATAACTCTTTTTCCTGTTTTGTCTGGCGATGTGCTTATTTTCTCCTCCCTTCTCTCCTCCCGAATGAGAATTATTGTTTTCAAAATTATCCCTCAGTCATTGGATTTGATCACTATCGGATCCAGGATTCAATTTTGGGAGCTTCACCCCCCATTTGCATTTTTAATTAATTGCAAATTATACATTTTTTTCTTGATTAGACCCATTATTATTTGAAAATTTACTAAATTCCCTACAAAACGAAGAAAAGAAATCATGAAAATCGATTAGAAATTCGTAAATTAGATACAATTTGAACCGACCCTAGGAGCAAAGTGTGTTTAAATATTTTTACCAGGAGAAACACATCTGAGATTTGTATTTCGCAGCTCGAAAGACCGTTGAATACGAATTTTCGTTGCGATCGAAATTTTTTTTTTTTCGACAAATTCGATAAACTTCAATATGCTTCCACCTACTCACACGGAATTTTGCAGGGATACAGGACCTTATAAACTACACGAAATGACACAAACTGTACTCCCCTAAATAATTTAGAAGTCAAGTTATAAAATAAAAACCGATTAGGCGTTTTTATGTATTTACTCTCTATAGACGTATTAAATAAAAAAATTATTGATACAGCCTTGAAGAGTGATAATTCAGCTTTCCAACGGTTGTAGAAACATTGAATTAGGATAAAATCCTCAGGAGTTACGAATGTTTAAGTTAACGCCAGGCAAAAACATATAATGAAAAGTGAAGTCGTTGTCAAGACGACTATCTCAGCACAGCTCTTCTATCTATCTTATAATATAATACGACAGTATTTTGCCGTAACGATTCCTTTTCCGACTCTCAGGAGCTATGTATTTTGATGAATGAGTATCAAACGAAAGGGTATTAAATGGAGCAGTGAGGAATCATAGTAATATCCTCCCGAAATTTCGTTTCCCTACAAAACGAAAAAAAACAACATGGAAATCGGATCATTATTTACAAAGATACATCCTATTATAATTTATGTATTATTGCTTCTAATATTGTTTTCAAAGAAGTATTATAAAATATTAATTATCATTTTTATACGTCCCATTTTCGAAACCTACTTTCCTAATCTCTGATTGTTGTGTAGTAAAGGATAACTCTGACAATTTCTAAGATTAACTGCCTTTCAAAGCCCTTAAATGTACAGTTTTTCAGTTTCCCTTAGAGTCCAACCTTATACTTGCGATAGGAAATCTTGATGCCACTGTTATCATGGATTCTGATTCTTATAAAAATTACAATTCCCAGCCCTCCGTAGATATAAATCGAGTGCACCTGCAGTTGAATAGAATAAAAGAGATCAGCCTAGCCAAACTACGAATAGGATACTCGAGGCTAAAACATGAAAACCTATTGACAAAGGGAACACTCCTTGAGTTTCTTTCCTGCGTGGTAAATATCACGATGATGCACATCTAGACTGAGCGTCGTGCCTATAAAGAACATCGGAATGAAGTGGAGTTGGAAAATAATATTCCTGAAATTTTGAAAAACAACACGAAGATCAAATTGTTTTTATTTATTAAAAAAAAAACTATATAACAATTTCATAAATAAATATACTATATACTATATATGTTTTATTTCGCCATATCGTTAGTTCCAATTATCGGTCCATCATTTTAAAGATTGTCTAAATACAACCCCACCATCTGAGAAAACAAACAAACTTAATTTAGCGATAGAAGGAGAAGTATGAAATTTATGGTGGATCAACTCCATAAATAATTAAAAGATTACAAAATTTCCTACAAAATAAAAAAAAAAATATATCGAAATCGGACCATTATGAGCAGAGATATAGACTACAATAAATTGTACAAATGTTTTGGTTTATTTTTACGAATTAACTATTTTAATTCGACCAAGAAAAGGAAAATGAATTCTGCCAAATCATAATACATTGCATTAATATATTTCCATAATATTCAATCAGTTGTTTTCTGATTAATATTTTATGCGAATTATTCGCACGGACCAGCTAGTATACTATAATTAGTGTTGCCCAAAATCGGTCTTGGTCTTGCACTTTGCAAGACCGATACCAAAGCCGCCTAAATGTTGCAAGACCAAGACCAGGGATTGGTTAAAAAAAAATTATTTTTTAAATAAAAATTAAGGCAAAATAGTTACTAACTCTCCAATACTTACTTGACAATTTTAGTTATTATATGTTAATAATTGATATAACCAATATAATTTTGCATTTAATTCAGGCTTAATTGGGTTTCTCCCATCTAAAATATCACAGTAATATCTCTATAGTAATAAGCTAATAAGTAACTGCAAGACTCCTGCGCAAGACCAAGACTGAGTTTACAAGACCAAGACTCGTCTTGGTCTCGCATTTGGGCAAAACTAACATCATACATAATACAGATAAAGCTTTTATAAAATATCTTGCATGATTTTATTTTTTAATATCTCTTATCATATATATATATGTAAATTACTTTATCATCATATTTATCGTTTAGTTTAATAATTTTATTTATTTTTGGCGCAACATTCCGGCAAGAACCTGGGCCACTCTTATTATATCCTCTATCCCAGACGATCATTCGCCATCTTCGAATTCCCACCCGTTTCAGGATATCCTCTACCTCATGCGTGGTCTTCCGCAAGGTCGATCCTCGAGCAGTCGTTTGGAAATTAAGTCTATGGACATAAAACTCACATGAAGCAACCACCTGATTTTGTTATTTTCACGATTGAAACCAAATAAGGACTCACATATATCTGGCGCTGTTGAATATAAATATTATATG